CACTACATCTCACAAGTCGCCATGTGCATCGTTGCAACTCGGTTTCAGCATATAAAGGTCCTCATTCTCAAATTGATCAGCCTTGACCAGGTTCTGTAGATTTGGACATGTCAAACTCCATGTAATCATGCCATCACCATATCCATATCTTCATCATGCAGGGTCATGATGAGGTTTGGAATCAACAGTTGTAGTATTAGTAGTCCATTCTCTCTCATTTGATCCCCTTTACCTTGAGACTTTTCCTCACTGATTTCAAGTACGTTGGATCTGGATAGCCCAAGCTGACACAACAGGAGAGAGAAAATTGTAGAAAATAGAAAATGAATTATTATTTATCCTATTTAACATTAAAAGGTGCACTAAGCTAAAATGGAGTCTGGAGACTTCCAGGGTACCTGCAGAAAATTTGGGAGAAAAAAGATTTTACAAAATGTATTTTTAGGGCTGTCAAAATGTTCATGTGAACCTAAATATTTACCATAATGATTTTTAAAACATTCACCAAATTTTAGTTATTACCTTTTTATTTTTCATTATGGTTTTTCAACACAAATTAACTTAAATTAACCTTTGTAAAAAAAAACAAACAAAAAAAAACAAAAAAACAATGTAGCATGTTATAGTAGAATATTATATTTAAAATAAAATAATAAATAAAAAATCTAGAGCATTTTAATCTTATTAAATTGAATTATTTTATATACTTTTTATTATAATATATATTTATTATTTATATTATTATTGTTTCATTTTTCATTATGGTTAAAGACAAAATTAATTTAATTTATTTAAATTAAATAAAAGTTAGAACAAATCTGAATGTAGTATAATTTAATAAAAAATAAACAAATGTTTTATCTTTCTATAGGGGAATTTGAAAATATTTATTTTCAATTGTAAAAATTGTGAGTAGAAAAAAAATACAGTTAAAATTAATACTTAGTATTAAAATTAATAATAAGTAAATATTTTCCAGATTTTTTTTTTTTTTTTAGTAAAGTGACGTATATTTGAACTCAAAAGAACTGTGGTGACCTCTGATCTATTATTTGGAATTCATAATATCATATTTCTAATTATAATTATTATATACTGTACCTTCCAGGTCCCCCGCTGTCCAGAGTCTTGAGGGGTATATCTGCAGGCATCACACAGTATTCACCGCTGCTATTGGCCGCCACAGTGAACAGCAACTTATGTTCGAAGGCCTGCTCCAGTAGCCGGAGGATCTTGGTCCCTGTGGTGTTCTGAGGCAGGTAGGCCACAAATTCAGTGCCCTTGTAGCTGTGTCCTGGGTGAGGATGCTTGTCCTGCAGGGCGAGTTACTTTAGTTGATCACTTGCATACTTAAATTAGTCACATTTAAGAACATGTCTCTGAAATGCAGTGGTTTTCAAAACGTTCCTGGAGCACCAGCACTGTCTCCCTCATCTAACACACCCGATTCAACTCGTCAGCTCATTAGTAGAGACTTTAAGACCTGAAGTGGGTCAGAAAAGGTAAAGAGTTGTGAGAAAATAGGATGCGTGTCAGATCCGCGTCATGTTCAGCAGTGGCAGCTCTTAAAGCAGCTAAAATAACCTAATAACCAGCTGCTGTGATGTCTGTTAATCGAAGAACAAAAGAAAAAAAAGAGAAATCAATAACTTTTGTAGCTTTACGGATTCATTATTTAATTTAGAATGTAGTGTTTGATAACTTTTATTAAGTCTAATAAATGTTACAATTTATTAAGTCTAATAAATGTTCAAATTGATAGCTCTCAATTATACTGTAATGCTGAATGCCTATAGTCAATGGCTAAACATTAGGGGGAAAAAAAAACTAATTCCTAGAGACATCAGTAGTATCAGTGATACTCGCCTTCAGTCATAACAAATTTAACAAATATAAAAAATATGCTGTCTTTGTTGTTTCTACATTAATTTGAAGATTTCAATGTGAAAGTATTGCAATATAAAAGTATATTTAAAAACTTTAATGTTAGATGGGATTAATAGTGATTAATTTCAGAAAAATATGTGATTTATTAGTTATTTTTTTAATCCATTGACAGCACTAATATATATATATATATATATATATATATATATATATGAGTACACCCCCTCTGAATAAATAT